CACTGAGGGTGTTTTTTGGGGAGGAGATTTTCCTCATCTGAACGAGGGTTTAAGAATAGAGGGTGTGACTAGAGGTGAAACAATTTGTTGGTTAAGTGATTATCTGATGCACAGATAAATAATCAGCAACTATTTTAGCAATCAATGATCCGTTTTACTCCACTCTCGGTTATCGCTTCTTCAGTGTGGATATCTGCTGCTTCTCTCAGTTATATATAAAATTGTAAACTGGATATCTTGGGACACATTTTGACATTTCATAGACAAAGCAATTAGTTGATTTAACAGGAAAATTATCAGCAAATTAAATCAATAAGGAAATGAATTGTTAGCTGAAGGTCTGGAGACGTAATGCCTTTTTGGGCTACAGAAATAAACCTGACTTTATTTGAACTATGCACACACACACACACACACACACACACACAGCATCTTAACACAACCTTCAATCCCTGTAAGGATTATTTAAAAACAGCCAGTCGGCTTCATTCAGCTCTGATCAAACAAACGCTTGTCTGCTGCATTTTTAGGATGCATCTGTGACGTTGTACATCTCAATAAACAATGCATTAATCAACTAATAGTTTTTACATCGCCAACAGCAACGGTGGGAGCTGTCAATGCTTTCATGCCTTCGCCACTTGGTGACCCTCACCAGTGGAGGAACCACAATCCGTCCCCCTCAACCTTAAAACTGCACAAACAGGGTTTTCCAGCTGCTCCTCTTACCTGTGCAAAGGGGCACTGGAATCCCCGTGTACAACCATCAGTCCCACACTGTCTAGCTCGCTCGCCGAGTAGCCGGCTAATGGCGAAAGCACTCCAGCGCCACCACAACACACGAGGGGAGAAACAAGACTACGGCGGCTGATCAGGCGTATGGCACCCAAGCGACACAGCCGTTCCCCTCCCATGCTTCTTACATAAGCGGCCAGATGACATCGAAACAGGCTCGGGGAGGGTGGGATTAAAGAACAAGGAGGAAGGAGAGAGGAGGGGGCTCGGCGAACAACGGGGAGAGCAGCAGAAAGGGAGGAAGAGGAGGGAGGGAGGGAGGGAGGGAGGGAGCTGCTGCTCAACAGGAAGGCAACAAATAGGCAACGGCAAGGCAGAGCGAGAGGAGCTGAAGTGAGAGAACAAAATGCACAGAGAGAATATAAAAGGGAGGCTGGCAGGAGGGAAGCGCTAGGATCTCGCCTGTGGTCCCAAGTTTGAATTCAAGCAAGATGTTTGACTCAACTTTTGGGTATGAATATTCCTTCACTGCAATGCTTCCATCTCAAGTCAACAAGCAGGTAGAGGCGTTCAACTCCTGCGTTCTACTAGAGCGACTAAATCAAGTCAGCAGATTGCAAAACGCAGCCTATTAGTTGAGAAAGACAAATATTTAAACTCCAGCACGACATTTATGCCAACATACAGTCTCATCATGATGGATAATATTATCTACTACTGAATAACTTTGATGACTCGTAATGCAAATGATCCCGAAATGCAACTAACAATTAATTTACTCACTCCTTCAGCACTATCAGTGACCGCTTTAAATGTCTTGTTTTGTCCAACCAAAAATATATTAAGTGTCTTTGCAGAGCCAAGCTAGAAAGCATCATTCATGACTAAACACAAGAAATTAAAGATACGTTCTTCAAATAATATTAAAGCCAAAAACTGCTGAAACTCTGGACAGGTCAGCAACAAAGATTATTTTAACACTAATTACTCTACAGACTATGTTACAGATAAAAAGGAACAGAGGAACATAAAAACTGGCTTTTTATTTTTGAAGAAAGGTCTTCAATTTAAACACAAAAATTTTGAAAATTGCAGAGGGTGAACGGACTATAAAATATCAGCAAATATTAAGACACACTTATTACAAGTTGCCAGAGCCCTCATTTTCAGAAGCCAAAAAATATTCAGTTTCTATAATAACACTAAGAAAACCAGCAAATATTAAAATCTGACAAGCTGGAACCAGATAGTTTTGTCCGCCTGTTTGTTATAAAAAAATGTTTGATGACTAATCAATCAAGCTTTTATTAAAAGGACACACACCCGGTCCAAAAGACATACAATAAAAACTGAAACAGTAAAACACTAAGTAGACAAAAGGAGACTACATACAAGAAACTAAAAGAAATGTCCTTAAACTATGGCTGCAAATATCAATTTATCAGCCAATAAGTTTCTTAATGAATCAATGCATCTCTTGGTCTATAATGTGTCAGAAAATAGAGAAAAATGCCTCTTACAGTTTTTGAAAGCCCAAGGTGATGTCTTCATGTCTTGTTTTGTACGACCAGCAGTCCAAAAGCCAAAAAAAATATTCTGTTTTCTATTAAGAAAACCAGCAAATATTAACATCTGACAAGCTGGAACTAGAGAGTTTATTTAATTTTTCCTATAAATTATCAAAACTGCAACAATCAGATATAATTGTTTTGGATCAGTCCACTTTATATTTAATATCTGTGTTTACACAGATGTTTGCACAACAAACAGAGAAAACTAAAATAAATTATCCTTAAAAATCAGGTTAGGTACAAGTTAAAACTTTCATCTGTGCAGCTGTTACCAAGTCCAGAAGCCAGAACCAATAAAGTTTCAAACGATTATTTATGCATAACAAAGATTCTGTTTACACATCAATTTCCTGGATTTACCGATAAATAGATAAGTGGTCTCAGCACTAATTATATCAGCATGAATCCCTGATCTAGCATTTCACATCTTTCTACAAGTCACTTCTTCTAAAAGTCTCCTGTTGCCATTATTGACTGAATGCTGCAATCTGACGCCACGTCTAATTGGTGTGATTCAGACACGGCATAATTACGCTGCTCACACAGTCAAGAACTAATGAACTCAGTAACTTTCAATACACACACACACACACACACACACACACACACACACACACACAGCTGATAAGGAGGAGGCAGTAACAACATCAGTGTCATAAAGACAGGAGACTTTGGATGGTAAGCTATCTCAGCCACGGCTGGACTTGCCCTCGACGTGACGTGACATTCAGAAACCTTGAAGATGAGCCTGTGTGACAGTGCCAAGATTAAAGAGTACGCCTTTATAAAAACACACACAATGGCACTGCAAATACCATCACATGTAATGCGTAACGCCACACCTGGCCTCTGGCATGCTGCTGAGACACATGACTGGCAGGGCAGAGGTCAGGTGGAAAGTAAAAGTCTGAGTAGACAGAAGAAGCTTGTTCCTGTATAATGAGTACATTTAATCACCCCTTATCTTTATCTTTCTGCGTGTCTCACTCATCACCATGTGTCTACCTCTCATCATCCACGTACAGAGTCATTAGGGGTGATGATCTCTCTGTCTGGCTGGTTGTATTCACACATTTAGGGATGTCACGAGAACAGATACCAAGTCGATACCAAAATTCTGAATACATGTCAGTACCCGTTTTGCCAGGTACAGAAGGTACCGGAGATCCAACACATGGAAGATAGCGACAAGTGCAGCTGCAGAAAGAGTATGGAAACCAAGGTGAAGTTAGCAGGATGTAGCAGATGTTACTTTCAATTAGCTGTGTCAAAGCCTCGATTTTTGCCCAGTTAGAGGTAATCAAGGTTGAACGTTTCACAGTTTTGATCACCTGAATATCACCAAAGATGACGATGCAGTTTGCAAAGCCAAGGACTGTCTGTCAAATGTGCCGGTCACTATAGCGGAGTTAGGGACCATCTTAAAAGTTCAATAACATCAATTTTAATCATCAATTACTTTTTTGTTTTTAAAATATAAAAATCCTGGACAACTGCCAATATAGATAGTGACCACCCTTAAACATTTCACTCCTGTTAGTCTGAATTTAATAATTAAATATGCACAGTGCAAAGCTGTACTTGCAATAGTCTGCTCATCTTTAGACATCAAATCACATCTGATCTGTCCTGGAGATCCTCTCCCAACTTTCACAGCTGTCAGTTGTTCTTTGTAATGTAGAGAGAAAGGAGTGTAAGTTGAAGCAAATGAGGTTTATTGTTTTGTTTTTAACCGTGGCATCAAGAATCGTGGAATTTTACTGGTATCAGTACTAAATTTCTGGTACTGTGACATCCCTACACACACACACTCCACAGATATTGAAACGATGGTACAAGAAAACATGACAGACGGCCGGGTGGTATATTTAGAGTCAGGAGTTTGTCAGACACAGTATCTTAGTGCAAAAGCCAGTCAAAGTTCATATCGCATTATCACGAAACATTTCACAGTTGGCTTCACTTCACAGGAAAAGCTTGAACCTGTCTCAGACCAGATTCTCTGGGGCTTTTTATTTTTCAACCCAAGAGGATTAAAACATCAGCATTTTACTTTCAAGCAAACCTACTGCTTTCCACTGACATCAGCCTGGAAAGATCAGTCACTTAGAGCCTCTGCCTAAGGCAAACAACATCATAAAGATTATATCCATTTACAGAGTAATTTGATGTTATTTACGATTATCAGCAAGAGCAGCAAAGTAGGCGATCCACAGCATAAGGTCAAAACAATCAAGCAGTTTTGGGAGCGTTAGCTTGGCCATGTTGGGCCTGGCAGCAGCATAATATTCAAACTTGACAGCGCGATAACCTCACTAACGTTAGCTAGCTAGCTAGCAACGATAGCTTCCCGATTAACCGTTACAAAGTGTTTAACGCACACTGTTAGTTAGTGGTCTCCTACTAGTACAAATAAACCCTTAAATAGCATTAACATTTAGGCAATCTAACCTTTTATCACAGCTGTGCAGCTTTATATAAAAAAAATGGCATTTTTAGGTTGCTAGCGAGCGAGCTAACACTAGTGCTACGGCTACCGCGGGTTAGCTCAAGTTGAACATGTAGCCTCGGCTAGCTTTTGCGCTGCGCCTTGCAGAAAAAAAAATAAAATAAGGAAACACAAGAAAGCTTACATGAAACATTGGAATAGAAAGAAATCTAAATTTACATGTTGTGCTAATAAAATAACGTTACCTGGGCGGGCTTGGGCGATCACCCATCATCCCAGATGTAAATACAGGGGCAGTGCTAATGCTGCTACCGTTAGCTAGCGCCCAAAGACTGGAACACACACACCGTCCCGAGTCCCGACCCGAGCCCGACAAGCTGCTGCAGCCGACCGAGAGGCTGTTACCCCTCCAATCGTGGTACTTTACCTTGATCCTTTTGCGGTTTTGCAACGGAGACGGCGGCGAGGAGTTATCCTATGTTTTTGGACAATCTAACGGGCTAACCGGTTAGGCTACCTCCCAGCTCGGCGCAGCCTTCCCCAAGCAGCAGCAGCGGCGGAACAGCAGGAAAATCTGGCCTGAAACAGCCAAACCCACGAGTACCTTTTTTTTTCCTTCCAACGGAATAATCCTCAAACTCCCATGAATAACAAAACACGGCTATATAAAACGATTATATTCACGCAATTACATTCCTGTTACTGATTCAACTGCTCGTCTTCCCCAAACCCCCTTGTAATTTGGTGCTTTCCTCAGCTCGGTTTCTGAGTCGGGGCTGTTTCTTGTCACCCTATTGTCAACACTGCTGGGCTGAGACCACGGCACACATAACAGAGGCGCACCGCAGCGTGCTCGACGGGGTTAAGATCCACGTACGACGGTGATTGGCTGGCGGGAGCGGTGCCGGGCGCTTGGATTGGACGGCAAGCGATGTCGATCACAGCGGAGGGAAATGAGGCTCTGAATCCGTCAGGTTAGGTGGAGGCGAAGGGACAAGGAAAGAGATCGGGGTTTGTGGTGTGCGGTGCGCGCGGAGTCTCCAGGACACAGCGCGCTGGAATGAGGCTAAACCTGTCCGAGGCCCAGCCAGCGCTTCGCCTCCACACTTCACTCTGAGCCAGCTTGTACTGTACTTTTTATTTTATTTATTTAGCCCGCTTCTGCGCCGAAGCAGCGCTGCGTGAAGGGAGAGTGGATCTATCTCCAGATATTAGACAGGAAAGAGAGTTACATAACTAAATGTAGGTTTACTATGAATATAGCTACGTTCATGGGCGTGCATTATGGGGGGGGGGGGGGGGGGACTGGAGAGAAAAACTATAATTCACTTTTTCACTCACCATGGAGGCAATACGGACTCAGTATTACATGATATATATATGGATTATAATTACTGATGCATTAACATGTAAGCAGCATATTAATGTTATAGCTGCCTGTTGTGGAGATACTTAAACGTTTTATATACTGTAACAATCAACATAATGTGCAAAGTAACTAGTTACATGTAATTTGGTTAAGAAAAAATTATATATTTTACTATAATGCACTTTTATACTCACCATGGAGGCAATACCAGAATCAGAAATACTTCATTGATCCCTGAGGAGAGTTCTTTGTGTTACAATTACTCATTTTGTGTATCCAGATATTAAGGAATAGAAATAATAATAGAAAGCAGGTAAGTAGAAAATATAATGAAATATGTGAGTGTAGAGTGTGATGTGTACGTTGTTTTACAAAATAAAATAAATTTAATGATAAATAGTAGTAGTGAATTAAATACTAATAGGAAGAATGAGTACAGGTAGAGCTGACATGGAAAAGTAAACAAATATAAATATAAGGAGTGTAGATATTTACTGTATTAACATTAAGGGGCATAATAAATAGTAGTAGTGAATTAGATATTAATAGGAATAATGAGTACTGGTAGAGTTGATGTGGAATGGATATAATCCTTAAAAACAACAGTATTGGGACAGTAGCCAGGGTATTGAAGCAGAGAATATTGCACATTGGGTATCTAGAATACATTCATAGAGTTCAGATGCATGATAATATATGCATATGGCTTATCATTACTGATGCATTAACATGTCAGCAGCATATTAATGTTATAGCTGCCTGTTGTGGAGATACTTAAACGTTTTATATACTGTAACAATCATCATAATGTGCAAAGTAACTAGTTACATGTAATTTGGTGAAGACAGGCGTGAAAAAATTATATTTTACTATAATGCACTTTTATACTCACCATGGAGGCAATACCAGAATCAGAAATACTTCATTGATCCCCTGAGGAGAGTTCTTTGTGTTACAATTACTCACTTTGTGTATCCAGATATTGAGGAATAGAAATAATAATAGAAAGCAGGTAAGTAAAAAATATAATGAAATATGAAGGAGTGTGATGTGTACGTTGTTTTACAAAATAAAATAAATTTAATGATAAATAGTAGTAGTGAATTAAATACTAATAGGAAGAATGAGTACAGGTAGAGCTGACATGGAAAAGTAAACAATATAAATATAAGGAGTGTAGATATTTACAGTATTAACATTAAGGGGCATAATAAATAGTAGTAGTGAATTAGATATTAATAGGAATAATGAGTACTGGTAGAGTTGATGTGGAATGGATATAATCCTTAAAAACAACAGTATTGGGACAGTAGCCAGGGTATTGAAGCAGAGAATATTGCACATTGGGTATCTAGAATACATTCATAGAGTTCAGATGCATGATAATATATGCATATGGCTTATCATTACTGATGCATTAACATGTCAGCAGCATATTAATGTTATAGCTGCCTGTTGTGGAGATACTTAAACGTTTTATATACTGTTGGGTGGTTTAACAATCATATACAGTAAGTAGATTCTCTATATAACCTGTTATATTCTGACAAATAAATGTACCTACCTCATAATTTGCAAGTAATTAGTAGAGTTGGGGAGTAACTACTTACATGTAATTCCATTACGACGGGTGTTTAATTGAGAGTAGGCTGTTAATTGAAGTTTTGTGGTCTACAGAGTCATTAAAATGAGCTCCACTTGTACCAGCTGCAACATTAAAGTGATGTTTACACATGAATGCATCAATAAACGTAATAATAAACTATAATCCTGTAATAAATATTATTCTGAAATGGGATATTCTGCATTATGAGTGCTTTTTTAATTGTAATGTTTTTGTACTTTTACTTAAGTAAAAGTAAGGGTTAAGCTCTACGTACAACGGCGATTGGCCGGTGGGAGCGGTGCCGGGTGTATATGTAATAGAACACATAAATGAGCAGTACATTAGTCTCTCTTTTCAGTGAGATCATTTTCAGATTTTGGATTATTTTTTCAATATTGTTTTTTCTTTGAGATGACCAAGAGGACCCTAATTTTGGATGGCGAATACGTCTGTGAAGAAAAAATATGTAAGAGAAATCTCGAAAGAATGGCCAAGTCCAAAATATATATATCTATGAAGATTCTCAGTCATCCAGGTCGTAGTTATCCAACGAAGGTTAAAATCAAGGGCAACTGGACTTGGTTGAAGCTACTGGAAGACGTTTCGTCCCTCATCCAAAGGACTTCTTCAGTTCTGACTGACTGGCAGGGAAACTCAGCTATTTAACCTCAGTGGGGTCGTTATCCCGGGTCATCGATACCGCTGGTTCGTTAGTGTTCCTTGTTGCTGTGACGACAGTCGTTACAGTCGTTAAGACTACCTGTGGCCAAGACTGAACGACCATCGTTGGTATCTTCACCTGAGGCCAATAGGTTACGTTTGTTGAGTTTCCTGGGAAGTGATGAAAGGACAGCATTGTAAGTGGGGGATAAGTGGTGGCGTAGACCCCCTCCCTGTTCAATGACGGCTTCTCAACCCTGGTGTAGATGCTTCCTTGACACCTCTTTCAAACCATCCATCTTCTCTGTCTAAATGTGCACCTGGTGGTCCTCAAACGAGTGTCTTCTGTCCTTCAGATGTAAGTAGACTGCAGAGTCTTGACCTGAGGAGTTGGCCCTTCTGTGTTGAGCCATGCGTTTGTGTAGTGGTTGTTTAGTCTCCCCAATATACAGGTCTGTGCATTCCTCACTGCATTGGACCGCATACACTAGATTGCTTTTCTTGTGTTTGGGTGTGCGGTCTTTGGAGTGGACCAGCATCTGTCTTAGTGTGTTCTTGGGTTTAAAAAACACAGGGATGTTATGTTTGTTAAAAATCCTCCTGAGTTTCTCTGATACTCCAGACACGTATGGAATCACAATGTTGTTGCGTTTGACCTTCTTTTCCTCCCCTGTAGTTTTGTTCTTCTTGGATTTTGTGGCTGTCTTCACAAAGGTCCATTTAGGGTCTCCACAGGCTTTGTTTGAGGACCACCAGGTGCACATTTTAGACAGAGAAGATGGATGGTTTGAAAGAGGTGTCAAGGAAGCATCTACACCAGGGTGGAGAAGCCGTCATTGAACAGGGGAGGGGGTCTACGCCACCACTTATCCCCCACTTACAATGCTGTCCTTTCATCACTTCCCAGGAAACTCAACAAACGTAACCTATTGGCCTCAGGTGAAGATGCCAACGATGGTCGTTCAGTCTCGGCCACAGGTAGTCTTAACGACCGTAACGACTGTCGTCACAGCAACAAGGAACACTAACGAACCAGCGGTATCGACGACCCGGGCCAACGACCCCACTGAGGTTAAATAGCTGAGTTTCCCTGCCAGTCAGTCAGAACTGAAGATGAAGGACGAAACGTCTTCTAGTATCTTCAACCAAGTCCAGTTGCCCTTCATTTTGACCTTCGTTGGAAAAATATAATATAGTTTAGTTGGGGGTTTTTTTCTCCATCAAATTAATGACAGCAACAAGACTGACGTTACGGTAACAGATTTGACCAGATTAACAGGGATGACAGGACACACGTTATACTTCCCATCATTTTCTACACACTACTGTGAAGTTTTACCTCTGATTGTACATACTATTGTTTTGCATTTGATTGGTATTATATTAGTGAACATTTCTTAGAGGTCTTTTGAGTTTTTGGTCAGTTCCATGCAGGCATTACAGTGTGTTTTGGAAGACAAATGACTTATTGAGACTGATTATTTTCATTTTGGACTAAATTGGTTTCAATATGTTTATTGAAACCTATTGAGCCTTTTTTATAATGTATATAAGTGATACTTTTAGGATATAATCTGACCAACTGCCTCAGGATATACAAACCTGGATGCAAACCAACTTTGTTCATCATCGGCCCCAAATCCCTCACAATGAACAGCAACAGCTTCAGACTCTCCATCAACAACTCTACCCTGTCTCCATCCCCGCATATCTGCAACCTCAGAGTCGTCTTTGGCAGCAACCTCACTTGTGAACTTCACTTTAACCATATCACTAGGACTGATGTCTTCCACCTCAAAAACATCGCCCGTCTCTGCCCATCACTCACCTTCTCTGCTGCCGAAACCCTGATCCACCCCTTCATTACATCCCGAATCGACTACTGCAGTAGCATCCTCTATGGTTCATCTGCCAAAGCCCTAAACAAACTTCAATGCATCCAAAACTCTCCAAAACTCCAAAAGCGCCTCCTCAACCACACCACCCCCTTCCCGAATCTTCACTGCCTCCGTTTCCCAAAGCAGTCAGTAGAAAATCCTCCTCCTCACACACAAAGCCCTCTATAACCAGGCCCCTTCCAACCTCACTGACCTGCTCCACCACCACAAGAGCCCCTCCTTGCACTGCACCTAATGGCATACTACTAAAATGTATTATAGTGTAGATACAGAATCATCAACACAATGCATCTAATAACAAATTAAGCTGTGGTGGAGATACATGAACATTTTCTATACTGTTGGACGGTTAAACTTATTATCCTATTCATCATAATGTGCAAAGTAACTAGTAACTATAGACGCCAAATACCTAGCGGAGTAAAAAGTACAATATTTCTCTCTGACATATTGTGAAGTATAAAGTAGCGTAAAACTATTCAAGTTATATGAAAAACAAAATACCTCAGAGATGTACTTAAGTACAGTAATAATAATAATCTTTATTTACAGAGCGCTTTCCAAAAATCTGTGTCACAAAGTGCTTTCACAACGGCAGAAAATGCAAAAACAAGTTTGAATTTAAAGCAGATAAACAAGAAACAGATGAAAACAAGGACTGATTTTTAATAAGGAATAAAAATACAGTTCAAAGAAAAGAAACATATAGTCAACTAAAATCAGGAAAGAATTTTCTATAAAACGATGTTTTAAGAAGGGAATAAATGGAATTCCCTGATTCAGCAGACCTGATTTCTTCAGGCAGGCTGTTCCAGAGTACTTGCATAAACTTCAGCAGCCTTAATAATCCAAACCTCCATTCTAAAAACTCTCACTTAAAATTACAGACCTTCTTCTCAACTCTGGCGGCGTCAAAGCTTCACCTGGTACACAATATTATATCACTACTTTACATTTTCATCTACGTGTAATTTAAATTGGAGGTAGCTTCGGCAAAGCTGTGACATACGTTTACTCAAGTACTGTACTTAAGTACAATTTTACATAACTTGTATTTTACTTGAGTATTTCCAATTTCTGCTACTTTATCCTTTTACTTTAGATGAAGACAAAAACTTTGATCCCAGGGGAGGAAATCACAAACTACCGAGCAGATAAAGTCTGCACCTTCACCAACATGAATGCATCAACAATTATAATCCAGTTATAAATAATATTCTGAAATTGGCCACTCTATATAATGAGTAGTTTACTTTTGGTATTTTGATTCTAATAATTTTGTACTTTTACTTCAGTAAATGATCTGAGTACTTCTTCCACCTCTGCAGAGCGGTCAGTAAAAACGTCAGTAAATAAAAACTCCATGAGGTCGCTGATTCACCACACTGAGAATCTTTAACGTCTCTCTCGTGAGCTCGGTGAACGGTCAGGATTTCTCCTGAGTCACACACGATCCCGCTGCGGCTCCGGTGACTTTCAGGATGTGATGCAGTAACAAGATCCAGCAGATTGAATCACATCAGCTTTAAAGCAACATTATGTGCTAATTTTATCTTAAAACAGCTTCAAAATCACTTTGCTGCTACACTGACTTGTAACAAGAGTGAACGGCGTCTCTGTCATTGCCACTCCGGCCCGGCCGCCTGGTACTGCTGCATGTGACATCAAATCCCAGGTAGGAAACCTGTCGCAACAACAGCACAATGTTTTACAGCAACACGACTCTTCAGCCAGTTCTAAGAAGAAGCAAAAAGTAAATAATGTTCAATGTAAGTTCTTTGGAAGAAGCTAGCTCAGTGTGGATATCACAGCAGAGGCTGTGAAGAGACCGAAGAAGACGTCGGAGGAAGCGGGGAAGAGAAAAAGAGAGAGTGACGACCAAGAGTAAGACGAGATTAAATATCAGACCGGCTTTTCCTCGCTGGCGTGAGCTAAAAGAGCTGAAAAGATGCAGGACCGATGCCGAGCTGTCCTTCTTGCTGTTCCACTAGTAAAGGCCAATTCATACTTTTGCGTTGAGTCTACGGCGGCGTAGACCCCATTTACCCTTGTGCATTGGTGCCTGTGTTTCTGGGTTTCTACATTCCACTGTGTTGAGTTTCTTCTTCTTCGTTGGTGTAGTTTGCTACGAACAGTGGTGACTGAAACTGAGCGGATCATGTTGGAGTTGGAGCTGATCGATGTTGAACAGCAGTTAGAGAGAAGGCGAAAAACAGATTTCTATAAGCTGTGTGTTTCTTTAACGATTTACTTTCCTGATCAGAGAGGCTGCTGTCAGCTCATCCTGACCGATCCTGTCGGGAGAGTCAAATAATCAACGACCTGCCGCTGTACCGGGCGCGTAAACGCACACAGCGTCTTTCCCCGCTATTAATCAGAAGGTTCATTTTTATGACAGACCCATCCGATCCGGGGACATAACTCTGCACCGCTAGAACCTGCCAATGCAGCACATCAGAATCTCAGTAACTCAAAAGTAGCGTAACGCATTACAATTCAGAGACAGCAATATTGTAATATTACTAATTACTCTCAAATGACAGTAACTAGTAATCTATAATGTATTACATTGTGGAAGTAACTTGCCCAACACTGTTTATGAGCTGTTTGCAGAGGAAGCAGCCACGGCAGGCAGGCAGGCTGCAGCAGCTTAAATAAGGCACCTTATATGGAATTTGCCAATGAATGCTCAGAGAGGAATCAGCTGAGCTATCAGTTGAGCGTGACTTGTTACCTGCCTGAACTAACGCTTGATTTGGTAAAAATCTTGATTTAAAAATGAAAATCTCAGAGAAACCTCAGCAGTACAGTACGTTTAGATTCACAGTGGCCCGTTTCTTCAGGTAGCGTACTGATTTGTACCAACAGGAGAGTACGCAGGACGTGGTCGTCAGTCAAACTGCCACTGGCACTTATATTTCACAAAGAGAAAACTAAATCTTTTTCCAAATATGTTAAGTTTTTGTTTTGTTTTCTGAGATCTTCCTGGAGCTGCCCTGCGTAGTTTTATTTGTGTTCATTGCCTGAAAAAAATAAAATGAGCTCATTCAAAACTCAAATGGTTTAATCTGACTCTGAGTGTATTTAAGCTTCACTTTTCCAGCATCAACGTACCTCATACCTGCTTAGAACTGTGGTGCAGGATTGAGACAAGTTCACTAATGTTCGGTCTGAATCTGGATATCTGTGCAGGCGTTAATGCACGGAGAACCCACTGCAGTCGGGATGCGATGGGATGCACCAGGCTACACCAATAAGGCAGCTCTACCTAACTCATTTGCACATTGACATCTGATCACAGTGTGGGCAGAACTGAGATAAAATGATGACTTATTAACACCTGGTGTGAAAGCAAAGGCCAGTGGATCAAATGTCTCTATTCAAATAAAGAATCCAGACCACATGTTAACACCAGGTGTGAAGGATTTCCTCTCCTGGGGGGCTGTGTACACACGATATTCTTTATGTACAGAACAGTTTAGAGGAAACTTCCAGTTGAAATGTGATTTCTCTCAGAATGTAAAATGTCAGTATGAGTCAGTATTTTGATTCAGTTTCTCGGCTCTGCTGCTTCTTTTCTCTCTGGTAGCCGTGCTTTTTATGCGGCCTGGATTTGAGTCTCAAAGCTGATTCGCTCTTCATGGTCTCCCTTTTCCCCGTCGCGAGCTCCTCCCCTCCTGGTTTCCACAGTAACAGCTGAGCGTCCTCTCCCCCGGTGATCAGAGCCTCCCCCGCTGCGTCCCACAGAAAGCAGCGCACCGTGGAGGCGTGGCCGCCCACGAGGCTCCTCAGCAGACGAAGCCCCCCGCCGTCACACTCCATCAGGTGGAGATCCCCGCTGTTCTTCCCTCCGACCACCAGCAGCTTCTGGGCCTCCTCCAGCCACCGCCCCCCCACCAGGTAATCCACGCCTCCGCCGTCACCCAGCAGAGTCACGCTGCGAGCGTCAGAGGTGCTGAAAACGGTAAGAGGCTCCTCTGTGTCCAGCTGACCCAGATCCCACAGGTGCAGCCCCTCGTCGTGGCTGAGGCACAGCAGCTGGGTGTAATCTGCTCCAGACCAGCACACCGAGCCGGCAGACGAGTCGCTGTTACAGGTGGCCAGCAGCGCGTCCTCCTCCGCCCCCCGGCTCAGGTCAAAAACATTAACAAGGCCGTCAGTGGAGCTGGACGCCAGGCGGTCTTTGTCTCGAGGGTGGAAGCGCACCTGAGTGATGTCGTCACTGTGCGACTCAGAATACACCCCGAGAAGCCCGCCACCCGGTTTCCTGACGTCCCAGAACACCAGGAAGCTGTCTTCATCGTTCACCTGCTCGGTGCCGGCGCACAGGAGCGAGTCGCTGCAGCTCAGGTCGACGCTACAGTAGCCGTGTGACGGATCGCTTTTAAACAGCTGGGCTGCCTCTGACCCGGGGCGGCGGACGTCCCACCCCCGGACTGTCCCATCAGCAGAACCAGAGTAGAGGAGGTCAGGGGAGGTGTGGGAGAAAACAACCCCACAGAGCGGCCCTCTGTGGCCCCGATACTCTCCCAGCAGGTTCAGAGTGTCCTTGTTGTGAAGGTGGACGGTGAAGTTGGAGCAGGACACGGCCAGCAGCCCGCTCGGCTGCAGGGTGAGGTCCAGCAGGTAGGTGGGTTCCTCCGGGCGAGACCGCAGAGCGATGGACAGACCGTTGAGCTTCTCCTCCAAACCCTCCATGGCGGGATAATTACACTAAACAGGAAGAAGAAAAAATATCACAAATTTAAAGCTGCATTTCAGAAGCAAAGAAGCTTCTTGTTGCATTTAAACAACTTAAGACTCTTCTCCAGCAAGACTCCATTCAAAATCCTAAAGCTTTTTTGTTTCCTTGCTTATTGGTCATGGTTTTGTGCACATTAGGAGACAACTTTTGATGTTTTATGAATCAATAGAAACCATTTTGCAATTCGGCATGAAGTCAGTACAATAATTAATGATAATTCAAGTAAGTTATAATTTCCACTATTTGGCTCGTTATTCCCACCGTCTTCTTCCACCGAAAATGTAATGCAATGTAGGAATTTATCAGTGTCGTTTGGTGGATGTGACCGGTGCCGAATTAGGCATAGTAGCATGTCAATTTGTAAAATGTTCAAAGTCATTTTAAATGTGATATTCATATTTGCCATTACACGAATAAACATAAAACATACAATCTTTTCAGTGGAGTCTGGTGTGGGCTTTTTTTTGCCTTTGAAAGATTTGAGCAGGAATCGGGTCACAATCACCATTTAAATCAGTCCCTGTGCTCGCGCGTTATGTGATCTTGTTCATGTGTTATGTGTTGTTATTTTCAACCTTACCTACTTGCTAGAAATTTCCACAAATTAGGGGAAAACATCCGGTAACTTTGTAGGACTACTTGGACGCGTCTGTCGCCAACAAAACGGACGATAACCACTAAAAACTATTTCAACATTTATGTTGATCAGAAAACTCGCAAAAGCACAGAAAATATCACCAGACCACTTCGGCTCAAAACACGCATGGAGTACATACACTGTGTCACAATATTTACAGCCGGGTCGAAACGTCCCATACATAAATGGTTCCGCTTTAGCGAATAGAAATCCTCCTCAACTTTGAAAATAATAATACCTCGATTAAATGAGAATTTCAAAGTATATTACAAAAATACTGACTTTGTTTTTATCTGAGTTCAAACTAATGAAAGGAGAATTCATATCATTTGTACACTGGGTTGATCTTATTCTGTTTTTGCTTTAATAATTTTGTTTACTTCACTGTAAAGGGATTTACATGTTCAAATACTCTTATATTAAATGTCCTATGTAGAGCTACATACATATATGTGCAGTATATTTGGCACATATCAAAAGAAAACTGAACAGTCAACACAAGGGACATGGATAGTAGAATTTAAATTATTTTAAAACTCTTTAAGATGTCTTGATAGTATAAATACATGTATAATATATATTACAAATATTGAATTTAAACCAGATTGATTTTTTTTTACCACGAAAAACATCTAAAAAAGCATTTGCACCATCATGGGAAACTAAAACTCTCCACTATGATCAGATGAATAAAAAACATAGCTCAGTCAATCCATAACAAGTCAAGCCTTTTTTTTTTTAACATCAACAGCAAATGCAAAAATCCTTTACTATAAAATAAACTGATGCCATCTGGGCCAAACTTTAGTATTAGTATTATTTATTAGTAATAAATATAAATCTTTCAGTGTATTTAATTATCAGGTGTGAGTCCTCAGTTGTCCAGCAGGTGGGAGCAGCTCTCTAAGTGAAGCTGACCCAGATCTGAAGTGGCACAGAAACAAATGAATAAATCCTCAGTCTGGACCTGTGGAGGCTTTTACTGTCGTTTCAGGTTTAGAGAAGACACCAGAGAAAAGAGACTTCATTATGGGTCCCTTAGCTATGACTCATACACTGATGTTGTAGGCACACTGTCCTATTTTCTTTGGAGTTAAAGATAATTAAACGTGTAAATTCTCAATGAGCCGCAGAGACCCACAAAATTGCAGTAATAGTCCTTATTGCTTTTTTTAATGCTGACAGTGAATAATAATGTCTGAGCCTGGAAACCCAAAGAGGTGAGGAGGTGGAATCAGTGTGTTCATGTGTGGTAAGTCAGTCCTTAAACAGCCAACAGCCTTTTACAGCTTCACACAGACAAGACTGGGGTAGTTATTGTTGCCTCCGACTGCAGAGCTCCCGTGATCGCTTTTGTTTTATTGTTGTCTCTTATTATATATGTGACTTTATTATTTTACTCTTGTAAAGCACTTTGTGACTTTATTCTGTGACAGGTTCTTTATTAAATAAACTTTACTTACTTAAAGGTTTTAGTGGCATCTAGTGGTGTAATTAGTATTTTAAGTATTTCAAATACAAGCTCTTACAAGTGTTTTGTTACAAACTTCATCTTCATTTCTTTCTGCCCAGCAAAATACAAATTACAAAATACTTTTACATTTACTTGAAATAGCCTACTGCCCATCTGGGACACGTGTGTGTTAACTGAGCTGTTTGTGCAGTTTCTTCACCACGAATAGCCGATAGCCTGTGTATACATTAAACTGCAGCTATCTATCTGTGTGCAATATCAAACTGTCTCTCTGTAAGTTCATGAACTGAAGTCATAATCCCTCAGGAGGGAGGGAGCACATTTAAAATGTGCCTTCACCTTCTTTAACCTGCCAAGGGTGAATTCATATCTGTGGACAAAGGCGGGAAAACGGAGTCAGAGCAGTATGTGGAGAGCGAAGCAGGAAAGGAAGAAGTGATGCCAGACGAAAGCTCCAGATGTGAAGCATCGTGATGGGATGATAGCGGTGACCCGAACGGACGGGATCTTCAGAGATTCGCACGAGGTTGGAAAGTTTGTCAGAGGAAAACTTGGAGTGTGGTCGATTAGCGGGTGGATTGTGATTATTGGGTGTGTGTCAAGGCGACAGAAAGATAAAGCTTTGAGGATCGATGAGTATGAAGATCACAGCAGTTTCAAGTGCTTTCCAATCTGTTCAGAGATCAAGAGAAAAGGAGTGATAAGTACCGCTGCCAGAGGAGGACGAGGCATTTTGAAATATTGAAGATGTTTGTGAAGCGAGAAGACTGACGGGGGGGAGAGGGAGGAAAGTAATACCTTTGACCTTTGCCAGGAAGAATATATTTAGATTTATGTTACAGGGTGAGGCCGTATGAAAGAGCTTCCCTGAGGGAATGCGGAGAGGAGACAGAAGATGTGGGATGAAAAGCTGTAAATGAGAGGAGTGTGAAGAAGAGCAGGAGCAAGTAAAGTGCCTACACTGCGCGGGAAAGCATCATGTGGGGTCCGAGACGACTAAAAGAAATTAAAGTGAGTAAAATCAGAGTGGAATGTGCTGAAGCTACCAAGAGGACGGAAAGAAAGGAGGAACGAGTGGAAAAGAAACAGGAGCCAAAAAGGAATGGAGAGGATCAGAATATGATCTGCGTGGACAAGAAGCCATTTCTGGCATTTATTGCCATGGTGGTAAATTGTGCCGTTGAAATAAACAGAAAGTCAGAGAGGATGCTGCGAGCAGATTCTTGGACACTGTGGAGGAGAAGAGATGGGTTTACACCAACTCACACAACTGAGACATAAAACTGACAAATGTATTGAATGGGAGTCCTTTGGGTGGTCACTGTAAATAGTTTGCACTGGGAAAACTATTTAATACAGTAAAGTACAGGCGGTAATGCAACAATTTAGATGCCAACAGCCATAAAACCTCAAATAAGAAGAATTCCTATCTGTTTGCACCCTCTCCCGTCTTTGCATTGACTTTACGTGTAATTGCACCTCCAGTACCTGCTTCACATTAAGTCTTAAAACAGAAACCTACATCTGCCTTTGCTCCCAAGCAAAGATAGTCTTTATTTGCACAACCACAAGAGGTCACTGGTCAGGAAAGCGGGAATGTTGGTCTATTGAGAAAAGATTTCAAAGATTATCTAAAAGGTGAAACCAAAGACACTGATGAAGATTAAATCTCAGCCTCAGCGGCAGCAGGTGTCTTCAGTCCGGCCTGTGTGACTCAGTCATTTCCAATAAAACATACACAGATATTTAACCACAGTCCTTTCTGCTGTCTCGCCACCGGGCAGAAGAAGAAAACAAAGAGAAATGTCTTTAATATTCAGGCCAGCAGCAGCTGCAGTCTGTCTCCTGGGCTGCAGCCGGGCAGCTTTGGCAGAGCGACGTGGAAAACTGGTCGTCCTGTGACACGCCACATCACCGTCTGCGGACGAAGAGCAGCTCTGCAGAGGGAGAAACAAAAACACTGAAGAGAAGCCATTAAAAACCCCTTGTGGGTTTATTCAAACACGATTAGTCAGAGGAGCTGCTCACATGTGCTCTGTCACACATTAGAGGAGGGCAACAACATTTTATTTAAGCCCAGAGTCGCCCAAAGACTGTAAATAACCCGCCTGAGGAGCTCAGCGTGGGCAGAGAAAATAACAAATAAAAAAGCTCCTGAACTTTGAAGTAACGTCTGTGATGATTTTTACCAGACTGTTTCTTTTGACGTCTGAAATAGTTGATAAGTTTTCCTGTTTGATGCAGCTGCAGTTTGGTCACACATGGTTTAGAGGTCTGTCAGTTCTCCCATCATGCCAAAGTGTAACACCTGACTGACTAACAGGGATACGTATGAGTTTAAAGATAAAGTCCACAGATTATAAGATATATTTTAGCCAACAAATAGGTACTAAGGTTTGACCCTTTGTTAGCTATAGCTAACTCAGCTGAGGTCTCTAACAGAAGCAAAAATAATAAACATTAATATATAATTGTACAATTTAATTACACCGCTCACAAAAATTGAGGGAACACTTAAATCCAACGTCAGATTTCGATGAACAAAATAGTTCCAAGTTCAAAATCTTTCCTGCACTTTGTATTATTTATTGAGAACAAATGGAAACCAAAATCACAAAAAGATAAATGCAAACTCTTGGGCATCTTTTCTGGTCCTGCCCTGCGCTCACAAGGTTCTGGGACGACAATATCAGTTTGTGTGGTGCTGTTTCTAATAGACAACTGGTCCCTGACTGTCTCTTAGTGATACTGGGCTGCTCCAAAGGTTCTTTAGCTCTTGGTATGTTTGGTATGGCCGTTGCAAAACAGAGTGAAGTCAGCTTCCCCTCCTTCCTTCAAGAGGTGGCTAAATTATATTGTTTCCTGTTTACGCCTTGAAGTAGTTTGGTTCTCCATTTCTGACTCCCAAGATAGTTTAATCTGGGGCCCTTTCATAGAATTCATCAGGAAGGATAGATCATAAACTGGGACCTAAATGCTCGACACTGTTTTTCTATAATTTTGTTAGTTATCCATACTGAGAGTCCCAGGAACCCAGGGCCCACTGCACCAGAGTAAGGTCTGACAGTGGTGGGAAGGTTACTTTGGAAATGCAAAAGGTTCCTGATTACAAGTTACCCGCCACAAAATGTAATAGTAATGTAATGTAATAAATGTAATTATCTCAATTACTTTATCAAAGTAATGTAACTTAAAAGAGTGCAGAGTAGATAAAAACGTGTCAGGTGACCTCCCCAAACTCTGGAACCAACACCTAATGCACATTTTACAATTATGTTTGTGAAGTTTTTAGATTTGGAAGAGGTGAGATTGCTTAAGTCCGTCTGTGCACATTCTTTTGCAAGTGCTCAATAAGTGAAGATTAAACATCATATATGTTTAGTGTTTATGCAGAAACAGGATTAAGGAAACAAAAGAGACCAGTTATTTTATCATTTTAATTTAATTTATTTCTAACAGAAACTGAGCCTAAATCTGAATCATGAATCAAATCTGACAATAAAATCTGCAGATGTAAATTTTATTTTTTTGTGAAACCATATTAAAGAGGCTCTATTGTTCCTGTGCGTCAGAGCAGGACGCGTCTGAACACCTGGAGCTGTTTTATGGTGAAAACAGGGAAATATTAAGGGTTTAACTTCAAAATGACAAATATGACAAAA